CTTACATGACATTATGGAGGAAGGACAGTACACCGATGACCAGGTGTTCAACATGGATGAATCTGGTCTGTTTTGGAAAAAGTTACCTACCAAGACCATCGTTGTCAAGTCTGCCAGCAAGTGTCGGGGCCAGAAGTTGCAGAAGGAGATCATCACAGTCCTCTTTACCACCAATGCCTCCGGTACCTGTAAGCTCAAGTTATCGGTGATCCACACAGCACGCAAGCCGCACGCCTACAAGAACATGGACATGACCAAGTTAAATGTCCACTGGCTAACCGCTCGTAAGGCGTGGATGTTCACTGCTCTGTCCCTCTCCTGGTTTGACGACTGTTTCATTCCTGATGTCAAGAAATTCTGTGAGCAACAGAATGTTCCATTCAACATTTTGTTGCTCCTTGACAACACACCAGGACACTCGCCCATACTGTTGGATTGTCACCCCAATGTAAAAGTGGTTTTCCTTCCTCCCAACACTACATCGTTAATCCAGCCCATGGACCAGGAGTTGATATGCAATGTTAAGGCTGCATTCTCTACAAAGAAGTTTAAGCTCCTGAACGACTGTACCAACACCAAGGATGAGTTGCGTAACCTGGGTGACACCGATAGCGATAGCCAGAGTGACGAGGACGAGGAACAAGAGTTGGCGGATCAAGAAGTTCACGTCAAACAGTTTTGGAAGAAATTCAACGTCAAGAAAGCTGTTGATTTCTTGGTGGAGGCATGGGGGCAGCTGTCTGTGGCAACAATTCGTCACGCATGGCAGCATGTGTTGTAAGGTATCCCAGGTGGGAGGCAGAGTCAACCTGTGACTGGTGAGGTTCAGTCTGTTGCAGTGGCAGTGGACCTTGCAAGAGAAGCTGTGCAGATTGTTACAGCTGCAGGCTTCTCCGAGACCACCAACGACGACATTATGGAGGTGATAAGAGATCCTTAGGTGACTGCCGACGAGATGTTGGAAGACGATGACATCAGTGAAGATGCAGGTGGTGCATCATCCCGAAAGAACACAGGTTAACGCATGGTTATACTGCCAGATTCTGGGGTCACTAAGTTTAAGGGGATAACTTAACTCTAATCTTAATTTCTAAGGGTCGCTGCCACCAGACCCCCTCGGGACAGCATGTAGCTCGTTAGGTAGCGTGCAGAGTGGACTAGGCATTGGGTTAGGTTTTCCATTGACCAGATCGATAAGGGTAAAGAAGGGTGAAACCATAACATGTCTTAATTAATTTATTCCTTATAAAGCATACTGGTAAAAAACATACACATGGATGGGTCTTCCTCGGAAGAACAACGAAAATGTTGGTTACCCTGATGGGCACCAGACGTCTTACATTAATGGCGTTCCATCCACCTACTTATTGCATAACAATCTGTGACCACCTTACCTCGGTCATTCCTTCTTACACTACCCCCTAACACATCAGACTGCTCCACCTGTATGGAATATAGCACCGTCGGTTATCATACATAGTAGCACCATCTCAACACACATGTTACACTCCATACCTGCAAGTATGGGACTCCTTGTGACTTTTAGGTATACACAACAGGCACCTCGTTCGCACACCGCCCTCGGTGGGTAAAGACGAGGGCTTCACCTAGAGACATACCAGCTCCAAGTGACGACCGCAGAGTTTCTCACGGTCTCCTTATTTGTGACTATTCATTTGGAGTGGTGTGCTGGAAATCCACAGGTTCACAGTGGATTGGCATAGCGGGGAGTAGTCACCAACTGTTGTGACGCTCAAAGGGATAATGGCGGCCGGGCGGCAAGGCACTCCGACCGCATGGAACCTGAGGTGACGGTAGAACGGAGGGTACAGAGAAATAATGCCTGACGGGCGGTTATCCCACCCCCAACACATTCCTATTACACTTATATATCCGGCAAAGCTTTAAACTGTAATAACTTCTATATAAAAACCTTAATTATAGGGCGGGATATAGCCCGCTAGAACACTGACCTGAGGTGACGGTAGAACGGGGAATACTGAGGGCATTGCCCCGCTGCTCCTCATCACGTAGGCCTACAGTTTCCAATCTTCAATTTTCACTTTTGTTTCTTATGGTTCTCACCTGAACACTTTTCGGTATATTGTCACTCATGCCTTATAAACACATATTTTAATCCTAAATTACACACTAAGGTAAGGTCTTGGTTTGCGAGTTCGTGGGTAAATTCATGGGGTTATAATATCAACGTGGCACCCGAGGCGGGCACATGACGCGCCTTGAAACAAAGGCTGAATGTTCATGGCGGGGGTGTATCAACTTCACTTAAAACTGTAATGAGGGATCCTCCTCTCACACATTGCACTATTTGAATACAGACATAAGATTCTCTGATCACTGTACCTGTCGTGGGCATATGTCACGTGAGGATACGAGGTGTATTAAGTCCATACCAACGCATACAAGATATTTCCTTTCAAGTATAGTTTCTGGGTCACTTCCAACACCTCACATAGTTCTGATACATTTATCCTTTTTCCAGATCATTGTTCTCATGTATTTTCATATGATATCTGTGGAAGTTATGTTCGCTACACGCTCACAGACGTAAATAGTATGACCTTCAAACCCTGATCCACACTTAGTCCTACAGTACACTAGTCCGGCTCAACTGGACTTTAACATTCATCTTATGGATACCCTGAGTTCTCCTTAATGCTATGAATACATACAATTAATATGATATAACTGTACCTGGGTACAATACAACACATGGTCTAGGAACATTGAGTAGGTGAGTTATCCTTTATCAATGTTTCCCGTTTTCTGAGGTTCTACAAGCGCGGTGGATTTGAATGTTATATAGCGTAATATGAATTAAATGGGGTTTTTAGGAATGACAATGATGTGCGCAGTACATGGTAATATTAAGGATGCCATTGAGTTTGCAGAGAAACTCAAGCTCGTCCTTTCCAACGACCCTGATGATCACCGCTATGAAGTCTTCAATAACCAGCTGTTGCAGACTATGGAGCCGTACATCCAGATGTATTATGACAACATCAACACTAGCTGTCAGCGTAACATCACAGGCTTCTTCGCCCGCAACCCACCAAAGCCAGTGATAGTGACAGTGACGCTATGGACTTTGAGGAATTTGTCAGGGAGGCCCTGACAACTGTGGTGGATAGTGATGGTGATTCACCTGAGGGCCAGTAATCTGCCCTCTGCCTCGGAACCAGCCCCCATCAACATATGCCGACCCATTTCTTCTACTAACGTAAGTGTTAAACCTAACCTAACCTTAATTTTTTCTAACCTAACCTAACATAAGTGTTAAAACTTGATTTTTCTTTTACCTGGTACAGTACTGTATATTATTCTCTTATTGATATTTCTCTTCTATAGTATGTGTGTGTGCATACCATCATAAAGTTAAGATACTATTTTTACTACAAAGTACGTATTGTGTCGCAAAAAGTGGAGTTTGGGGGGTCGGCCCAGTCTCTATTTCAATTAATTCCATATGTTCTGTTATTTCATTTACTCGTTTCTCGTTTTAAGCGGGCCTCCATGGGCCTCCACCGCGTAAATGCAGACTCAACTGTGTATGTGTATGTATATATATATATATATATATATATATATATATATATATATATATATATATATATATATATATATATATATATATATATATATATATATATATATATATATATATATATATATATATTGATAAGGTAAATATGTAGGTGCTGGTATATGCTGATAACCACAAGGAAAAAGAAAATTCGAAGTTCCCAAGCGCTTTCGTGTACTTCACATCTTCAAGGGTGAGTACAGACTAAGGAGAAGTACATAACAAGGTATATATATATATATATATATATATATATATATATATATATATATATATATATATATATATATATATATATATATATATATATATATATATACATACATACATACATACATACATACATATATATATATATATATATATATATATATACACAGTGGGGTATGCTATAACGAACGGATCCAACTACGAATATTCCTATAACGAACGGTTTTACCTATAAAATTGAGAATGCTATAACGAACGAAACTCCTACAACGAACATTATTTATTTATTTATTTATTTTATTTTATTTTTTTTTTTACTAATTTATTGTTTTTTTATTACAAGTATTAATGATACTCATTATTTCAGGGGTTTAGATGCATATTTATGCACTTTTACAATTTTTACAATTTTATATTATATTTTTCAGTGTTAAGTGGTTGTATTTGGGGGCCTGGAACGTATTAATCCTATAACGAACGAATGCTATAACGAACAAGGTTCTAGAACCAATTAGATTCGTTATAGCATACCCCACTGTATATATATAATATATATATATAATATAATATATATATATAATATATATATATATATATATATATATATATATATATATATATATATATATATATATATATATATATATATATATATATATGCTGATAACCACAAGGAAAAATATAACACGAAGTTCCCAAACGCTTTTGTGTAATTCACATCTTCAGGGGTGAGTACAGACTAAGGAGAAATACATAGCAAGGCAAATATATATACAGGAGAGGAAGGTGAGATCAAGTCCACTATAGTCAGGTTATTAGGTAGTGTCCCTATTAATCTTCAAAAAGCACCGCAGCAGTCGGTAGTCAGGTCAGAGGGTAAGATGACCCAACCTTCTCACCTGGTTACAAATCTTCTTAATTACGAAATTATCCAGTTTGTACATACCATTACTCAAATTCATGTTGACGGATTCGGTATGTTTAATGAGACTGGATTCTATAATGTTCCTACTGTCAATTGAATTACAAGGTAATATGAGGAGGCATTATCCCAGTCAATGCAATGCTTATTATCCCTCAAATAAACAAACAGAGCATTGGATTCCTGGCCTGTCCTAACACTATATTTATGTTGTTTAAGTCTAGTTACAAGATCTTTACCTGTCTGGCCTAAGTAAAACATATTACATTCCTTACAAGGAACATTATAAATGCTTGTTGGGGGAGTTCTTGTTTAACATTTGTTTAACAGTGCATGAGTTTTTAAATGCCACATTGACGTTCCAGGTTTTTGTCGTAAAGGCAAACATATAAAGGAAATATAAATTTCTTTGCACGAGTACAGTATAAATGTACCGCCCCCTCCCCCAGGGTCAGCAAATGTTATTCGTGGCCATTTTGAGAACCTAACCCCAGGAAATTTGAAGAGCATGTTATAATCGATTACAGTATTTATACTTGAAATAGTTCCTACCAGCATGCAAGACCATACAGTTTTCCACATCATTTTCTGTAAGATCTTTCCCCACAACTTTCATGTAAGATTCTTCTCACCAGTGTGTAAAGACATATGTTTTGTCAGTTCACCTTTTCTGGAAAAACTTTTACCACACACTTCACACTTAAATTTCTTCTCACCAGTGTGTACAACCAAATGCTGCTTCAGATAGCTCTTCCTGTAATAACTTTTACCACACTCTTCACACTTAAAATTCTTCTCACCAGTGTGTACAACCATATGCTTCTTCAGATAGCTCTTTACGGAATAACTTTTACCACACTCTTCACACTTAAAATTCTTCTCACCAGTGTGTACAACCATATGGCTCTTCAGTTCGTCCTTTCTGGAATAGCTTTTACCACACTCTCCACACTTAAAATTCTTCTCACCAGTGTGTACAACCATATGGCTCTTCAGATGGCTCTTCCTGTAATAACTTTTACCACACTCTCCACACATAAAATTCTTCTCACCAGTGTGTACAACCATATGGCTCTTCAGTTCATTCTTTCTGGGATATCTTTTACCACACTCTCCACACTTAAAATTCTTCTCACCATTGTGTACAACCATATGGCTCTTCAGTTCGCCCTTTCTGGGATAACTTTTACCACACTCTCCACACTTAAAATTCTTCTCACCAGTGTGTACAACCATATGGCTCTTCAGATGGCTCTTCCTGTAATAACTTTTACCACACTCTCCACACTTAAAATTCTTCTCACCATTGTGTACAACCATATGGCTCTTCAGTTCACTCTTTCTGGGATAACTTTTACCACACTCTCCACACTTAAAATTCTTCTCACCAGTGTGTACAACCATATGATTCTTCAGATGGCTCTTTATGAAATAACTTTTACCACACTCTCCACACTTAAAATTCTTCTCACCAGTGTGTACAACCATATGGCTCTTCAGTTCGCCCTTTCTGGAATAACTTTTACCACACTCTCCACACTTAAAATTCTTTTCACCAGTGTGTACAACCATATGGCTCTTCAGATGGCTCTTCCTGTAGTAACTTTTACCACACTCTCCACACTTAAAATTCTTCTCACCAGTGTGTACAACCATATGATTCTTCAGATGGCTCTTCCTGTAATAACTTTTACCACACTCTCCACACTTAAAATTCTTTTCACCAGTGTGTACAACTATTTGTTCCTTTAGTTGTTCCTTTTGGTTATAACTTTTACCACTTTCTAGACATTTACGAGTTTTCTCATCAACAGTCACATGTCGTGTTACATCATAGTTACTGTTAAGACTTTCATCAAACTCTTCACACTTAATATTTTTTTCATCAACAGTCACATGTTGTGTCACATCATAGTTACTGTTAAAACTTTCATCAAGCTCTTCACACTTAATATCTTTCTCATCAACAGTCACATGTTGTGTCACATCATAGTTAATGTTAAAACTTTCATCAAACTCTTCACACTTAATATCTTTCTCATCAACAGTCACATGTTGTGTCATATCAAAGTTACTGTTAAAACTTTCATCAACTTCTTCATACTTAATATTTATCTCATCAATGTGTTCAGCCATACAGGTATGCATCTTCAGAGAATCACTACTGTAAAATAAATCACCACACTGTACACACTCATAATTATTTTGGCCACCATGTCCAGCTATTTGATTCATAAACTGGGCCATCTTTTACAAACTTTACAACACTCCATGCTAGAAAATATTTCCCTCAGTGTACACACTTTTGGGTAACTTTTGACTGTATAAAAAAGTTATCCACTCTTCACAGCTAAATTTGCATTAATAATTCTGCACATGTATGTGGTTCTTGAGCTCACTATTGTATGAGGAATATTTACAAGTGAACTTTGTCTCACCAGTATACAAGCACGGCAGACAAACACTTGTCGCATTTATATAATGGAACGTTTATCAGCAGTGTACACAGGCATAAGAGTCACAAGGTAGTTGTTTAGGTAGAAACATTGCAACACTCATCATACTG